GCACAAAGAAGGGACTCACGGCAACATCTTGGCTCTGGTGGGGCCGCGAGGCGCAAATGCTTTTATTGGCCTGGATTCCACCTTCCCATTTCTCCCTTTTTGTTGTGTCAAATTATCGTCCTTTCCTAAATTAATTATTTTATCACTCGTGGGAAATGGCAGATCCTCAGAACATCAGCCTGCTGCTTCTTGCCAAAGGAAAGCAAGACAGGAGTGTACCTGCTTCCAAGCAACGTTCCAACCACCAAGTCCCTCTTACACCATTTGTGGGGTCCTGCCAGTGGGGTGTATCAGCTTGGACTTGAGGGATCTGAGTTCGAATTCCTGTGCACCGATGAAGCTAAGTGGGTGAACTTGGGCTAATAAGAATCTTTCGCTTAGCCACTCTGTCCCCAACATTAACATAAGAACAGGGCCAGATCTAGGTCTGATGAGGCTCTAAGCTACTGAAGGTAATGGGGCCCTTTATATGTCCAGCTGTCCTTCGTCATCAACAAATTGCCGCTGTTTTTTGTGTTGAATATATGCCATGCAACCAGTCCATGCAGAATGTAGGCACCCTATATATAGAAATGAGCAAACCAGTGATATTTTAGGGAGCAGGTTAGCAGGCAGGGCCCATTACTTACATCATAGGAGCCTACAAAACACTGTATGTAGGTATGTAGGTATGTATGTAGGTTTTATTTTCTTTTAATTTTTATCTGATATTTTACAAATGTACATCCAGGTGTTTTTTTTCTTTAATTTTTTTGTGGCCCCCAAGGGAGTGCGGCCCTAAACTATTGCTTGTTTAGCTTATACGTAAACCGGGCACTTCATAAGAACATAAGAAGAGTTTGGTGGCTGGATCAAGTCAATAGCCCATCTAGGCCAGCATCCTGTTCTCACAGTGGCTGACCAGATGCCCATGGGAAACCTGTGAGCAGGATTCAAGCACAAGAGCACTCTCCCCTCTTATGGCTTCCAGAAAGTGGTGTTCAAAATTCACCCATTCCTCTTGGATGATGCCAGGTGTCGGGAGAAACCCAAGCCACCTTCACCTAAGGCATCTTATTTCGGAGACCTTTTGAAATCTCTCTTATGAAGCCACACAGTACTTTAGAACATAGTTGTTCAACATAGAAACTGATGGCTGTCAGGTTGGCAACTATCATGTATCATCTATTTGACCGGAGAAGGGATTTTCTCCTCCTCGGTATATGTGTCCTTTGCAAAAGTGTGTTCTGTTGGCAAAGGTTTATTTATCTATTTGGGGGATTAATAGCCTGCCAACATGGTTCACAAGAGCCCTCAGGGCATCTCATAGCAAATAATCTCTTCTTTTTCAAAGTGTCATGCTGGGGTGTTAGGGGTTACATTGAAGGAAAATGGCTACATAGATTTGTAAATCTGATCTTTTGTTCTGCTCAGACCCCACCGTTCCTCCCTGCCTGAGGGGGCAGCATGTGGCAGTCATGGGGTGATCTTTGTTTCAGCATTCTAAAATAATCTCCACTTAACTTCACAAGCACATTTCTGCAAGAATAGAATGGCGCCTGTTTGGGAGGTTAAGAAGGTTCTTCAGTCTCTGAGCTAGCTAACTAGATTTCATGAAGTCCACGATCATACAATCATAGAATTGTAGAATTGGAAGGGACCCCAAGAGTGATCTAGTCCAATCCCCCACAACAGTGCTCCTCAGCAAGAAAAAGAGGGGTACTTTGATTTGACTCAGTTTGTTCCATTTCCCTAACTTAATGTCAAACTTTCACATGATTTAAAAGCAAATTCCAGAAATGTAGTGGAATATAGCGCAGGTTTAGTGCTTATATCTGTGTTATTCGCTTAGAGGAAAACATCTGCTTGACCCCATGAAAAATACTGCATGTCTTGCCAGACCACTTATTGATTTTTCTGCCTGTTGTAGCAATCATATAGTATTTTTAAAAATTCTGTTGTATTGCATAAAAGTTTGAATTCCATAAAATACAAGATAAAAAATAAATGAAGCAATACAAATACAATTAAAAATCAATATGAATTTCATATACACAATACAGATACCTCTTCGTGGTACAATGTGATCTTTGCATCCCTAATGGTTTTTAACTACTCTACCTACCTGATTTATGTCTTTTCCAAGTATTACTGCACTGCTTTTTTTGGTATTTGTATTTCTATTGTTTTTGTTGTACAGGTTAACTTGCAACTTATGTGCATTTAATATGTGTGATTTCAGCTTTATGCAGTTGAAGGCTGGCTGGTTGAAATCACACAAATTAAATGCAAGGAAAGCGGAGAGCTTAAAAGCAGGGTTCTCCCGGCACAGAAAGGGCTTTTAAACTCTCATAAGAGCCTCCCAGAGCCCAGTTAGCAAGACAGAGAGTTTGGGCAGGTGGGTTAGACCCCTTTGGCACTCTGACTTCAGAAGGTGAGATTGCTCGTGTGGAGGCAATTCCAAGGGGCTGATTTGAGTACAGTCATACCTTAGATCCTGAACGCCTTGCAAGTCGAACGTTTTGGCTCCCGAATGCCGAAAACCCGGAAGTGAGTGTTCCGGTTTGCGAACATTCTTTGGAACCCGAAAGTCCGACGGGGCTTCTGATTGGCTGCAGGAGCTTCATACAGCCAATCAGAAGCTGCGCTTGGGTTTCCAAACGTTTTGGAAGTCGAACGGACTTCTGGAATGACTTCCGTTGGACTTCCAAGGTACGACTGCATATGCATTCTTGCATAAATGCACCATCCCTGCAATGTCACCTATATTGCTTTGCTTGACCTCCCTCAAGAAAAATTATACTGGGGGGGGGGAACTATATGAATACCGAATGCAATGGATGTGCCACCTCCCATCTTTAACTGCAATCTGCAGACCCTCTAAATGAAGATCATAGTCCACAAACCACAGTTTGATAACACCTGCCCCCTGCCTCTATATATTTGTAAGTAGACTAACCCAGCAGGCCCAAGAATTGGCTGGGATGCAGCAGGAGGTCTCATTAGGCTCTTCCCTTGATTTCTGTGGCACCGAGTGTCGGCATAAGGCCAGTTATTGATTTGTCCAGAGGCAGAAGCAGCAGAAGTGATGGCGGAGGGTGAATGGGGTCCTATGACAAGAAGGGATGCAGCAGTTATCTGATGCGCCCTTCTCTCATGTTTGCGTTTCGGGAGGACTCCGACGCCAAGGCAGCCTCCGCCAATCTGCTGCCCTTTTGAAAATGAGCTGGAAGGCAACAGGATGGTGAAGGATGCTATAATGAATATATGTTTTCCCATGGGTGTAGGGAAGAAGGAAAAACAGGCCCTGTTGATGATTGTAATCTTTGTGCCTTCTTTGTAGTAAAGGAAATTAAATAATTCTAATTTGACAGACCTTTGTAATTCTGCTTCTTCATATTATTCCTCCAGCATCTCTTAGCTTAGTCAGTGAATGTAGTTTTATATCAACAGCATCCTGTAGATATGACTCCTTTTTCCTGCTTCCTTCTAATGCAGCTGTGTGTCAGAATTGCAGTTTGTTTGACTTGCTCCGTATTATCATATACACTTTATTCCCCCATCCCATTCCTACATTAATCTGCCATTTAAAGCAACCACTGCACAGAAAATTACATTTAAATATTTATCTCCAACTGCATTTTCTTTCCAAGTACACATTTCTAAATGTATCTTTTTCTCAACAACTTTTACTTTAAAATGCATTTTGTTGCATTTCAATTGTGTCACAATGTTTCTACAACTGCAAAATTTGGTGGGATGGCTGAGTGCCAGTTTGCACACGAATCCAAAATGTTGTTTCCAATGTAAGTGCTACACAAAGTAGACCCATTGAAATCAACAGGTTCCTGGAAAATGCTGGAATCCTGCTTGTGGGTTTCCACAGGCATCTGGTTGGCCACTGTGAGAACAGAATGCTGGACTAGATGGGGCATTACCCTGATCCAGTAGGTTCTTCTTAAATTCTTAATGGCCATGGCTAACTTAGGTCTATTCATATTCCATGGGTCTACTCTGAGTAAAATGACCCAAAGGGGCAGATCAGGTCCATTTGCATTGGAAGTGGCAAAGATCAAAATTCTTAAGTATCGTTATGGCAAGTTTTATAGCCTCTATGAGAACTAGGCCTGAGATAACCATTTCAAATGAAGTGTTGTGAAAGGTGTAGTGCAGTTATCAATTTGGCATATTTAATGGCCCTTTTGGCTATAAACCTTGTCAGAAAACCGGCTGGTTCATATCATTTTGACACAAGCTTGGCTTGAGGCACCCATCCAGGGCATCAAATTATCACTGATCTGAAAAATGGCACTGAAAGGTTTGTTAAATATGCCAAGTTCTCAGATCAATCCAGGGCTTTTCTTTTTATATACATGTAGACAAGCCTCTCAGACAGTTTTTTCTTGGGACTTGCCAGAAATCCAATCAGATGTGTTAATTTCTCGAAAAGTGGTGGGAAGGAGGAGCTAGGCAGAGGGAGAGTGAAGTGCAGCCCATCCAAGCTGCAGGAATAATAATAATAATAATAATAATAATTATTATTATTATTTATGTATACCCTGCCCATCTGGCTGGGTTTCCCCAGCTACTCTGGGCAGCTTCCAACAAAATATTAAAATACAATAGTGATGGTCCATCATTTCTGGAGCTTCAAGCTCTTGCTCAAATTGCAATACTTGTACAGAAAGATGGGACACATCTCCAAGAAATTGATCTAGTCTAACGGAAGATCCTTATTGTCCTTTTTGTACAACCTTTAAAAATACTCCCCCCCCCCTCCTGAGTAGCTTTCAATATAAATAAAAGGGAATTTGTAATAAATGTGTGTATATATACAACCCATAATACGATACCAACTTCCTGTAGAATAGCATAGAGGCAGAAGACCCAATTCCTACTGGGGAACATAGGAAGCTGCCTCCTACTGAGTCAGACTCTTGGTCCATCTAGCTCAGAACTGCCTCTCCACTAAACTGGGAGCAGCTCTCGGGGGTTTCAGACAGGAGTTTCCCAGCTCTACCTTGAGACACCAGGGATTGAACCTGGCACCTTCTGCATGCAAAACAGATGCTCTGCCACTGAGCTATGGTCTTCTCCCCCACTGAATAATGGCAGGAAGCCTTCTCACCCTGATGCTTCTCTTCCTCCCTTCCACTGACCATCAGCTGGTGGGGACACTTGGAGTGCGGTTTATATGTGCCTTTAACCCCAACTACGATTTGGGCTTTCACATCTTCAGCATGGCTATGCTGCCCGGCGGCTGGTGGGAACTGTAGCCCAAAACAACTGGAGGGAGCAGGTTGGGACTTGCTGCCCTAAAGTACATAGCCAGAGTTATTTTTGCCCCAGGAGGCAAATCCTGCAGCAGACCCGCCGTGCAACCTTACACATTGCCTCTCAATGGGCTCCCCTTGCCCAAACCTTTGCTGATGCTGGAAAAATCAGCTTGACTGGAATATACTTCTCTGTGTATGTGTCTCTGCTCATCCGAAGGCAGACAGAAATGCCAGTTCCTGCCGGTGACTAATGCTCGCACATTTATTATTCCACTCAATTAGAACAGCACTAATCACTTGGTGGTGTTTCATCCCTTAACGCCTGTTCGGCAGGAGGTGTGAAATCCTCTGTTTGGGCCATGACTAATCCGCAGAATCTGCCATCTTGAGCCTTGCTTTGTCTGATGCCCACTTTGAACAGCGTCATGTCACTAGCTGAACAGGACAAAAAAGGGGGACGCGCCCTTTGTTCCTTGCAGGATGGAGGAGGCGCAGGGCCGTCCTGTCCGTGAGGCAGGAGACACGCGAGATTGCTGAGAAGCCTCCAGACAGGGCTCTCATGATCTTATGGAGCTTTTGAAAGAACTCACTGTAATCCAGAAGCTTCAGCTGTGTGACTCCAGTAAGCAAGGCTTTGGTGGGGACACAAGAGGGGCTGTTGACGTACAGCATGCAATATGTGGTGGCAGATTAATAACAATAATAAAAATAAATTTTATTTATACCTTGCCCTCCCTGGCCAAGGCCGGGTTCAGTGCGGCTAACACCAAATATATAATACATTAAAAACACAAAATCAAACAATTGATTAAAACACAGCTCAAAATCACAGTAAAATCAAAATAAAATTAAGTGGCCAACCCACAAATCACAGCCATGAAGGTAGGAATATTAAATATTTGCAGACCTGGTCACCCATGCTGGTCCCATATGGGCCAATAGAAAGGGCCACTTATATACAAGGTTTCATGGAAAGAAGGGGGCTAGACTGAGCCTGGACCAAAGGCCTGGTGGAACAGCTCTGTCTTACAGGCCCTGCGGAAAGATGTCAAATCCTGCAGGGCCCTGGTCTCTTGTGACAGAGCGTTCCACCAGGCCAGTGCCAGGTTCCCATTTCACCTCAGGTGGTGAAACAGGACAAGGCGCCCCTCTGTATGTTTTGGAGAAGGGGCGTAGCTCTGTGGTATAGCATCGGATATTGTAGGGTTGGAAAAGGCTCAGAGAAGAGCAATCAAAATGATGGATGGATGGGGAGCGGGGAGCAACTCGCCCATGAAGAAATGCTGCAGCATTTGGGACCTTTCTGTTTAGAGAAAAGGTAGAAGGTGGTGTAAGTTTCTAAGGTTGTACATGGCATGGAGAAAATGGATAGAGAAAAGTTTTTCTCCTTCTCTCACAATGCTAGAATTTGGGAACTATCCAATGAGGCTTAATGCTGAAAGATTCAGGTCAGAGAAAAGGAAGTCCTTCTTCATGCAGCGTTGAGTTAGACTTCTTGCGTTGGGCTTTGCTCTTGTACATTCCTTAGAACCAGAGATGGACAAATCATCATAAATCTGTTCCATCCCATTTCCACATTAATCTTTGGGTTTTGGTTGTTGTTGTTTTTTTAAAAAAAAATCCTGGAGGACAACATTCTGAATGGCAATGTTGGCCATCCCTGAGATGATGACATGTACGGCGATCCTGCAATGAGCGTTTCGTTGGATGAAACGACACGCGGGATCCCTCCCAGCTTTACGATGCTGTAAAAATGAGGTGCAGACCAGAGTGCCTTGTGCTGTGTTTCCCTTTGTAGATCCTCTTCCTAGCTTCCTTCTTTGGCGTCCCCCCCCCTCTTTCCTGCCCTGGTTTTTCTTCACGTTTCATTCTCCTCCACAGCTAATTTAATCTTGACATTTCTGGAGCTCAAGGAAATAAATAAGATGCAGCTCACATTTCGAATTGACTGAGGATAGTTGGGTGAATCCTGCGCTGTAATTACACCCAGTGACACTCCTAAAAGAAAATGTTTTGGGGGAAGTGGCTCTTGAGATCTTCCCATCACATCCTCAGAAGGTTTGAAGGCAGGGAAGATGTTTTTTAAAAAATTGGGAGGCTGCCAAAACAACCCCCCTCTCTTTTAAAATGATTTTTCCACTGCCTTGTAAAAATGTTTATACGTTCCTTTGCTTTTCTCTCACTTGCTCTGTTGCTCACTCTCAGTTGCCTTCACTTGTCCTCAATGACATCATTACACAGCCAAATCTGATTGGATATATAGCACTGTGATGCCACCTCATTTACTGTGTGGTCTCTGACTGGTTAGGATCACACCTGTGACCACCAAAGACAAGCCTACACAAGGTGAATCAGAGGGTCGTCCCACTGAGCTAAATGGGGCTTCCTCCCATGTAAATGCAAATGAAACCAGGAAAAAAGGATGGAGGAGTAGCCAGGGGTAAAATCACACCAAAGTATCAGCAGCAGCAAGGACAAACAATGGAGCTTAATGGGATTGAAGGAAAGTCAATATTCACATAGTATTCACTGGAAGAAATGTCTTTTGATGTCTTATATTCCATGTTAAGAGCAATGGGTTGTTGTTCAATGGAAGAGCACCCACTTTGCATGTAAAAGGTTCCAAGTTCAATCCCCAGTAGGGCTGGAACAGTCTCCCTGCTTGAAATTCTGGAGCGATACCTCCAGCCAGGATAGACAAGACCAAACTAGAGGGACCCCAATGCTCTGACGCAATATAAAACTGTCAGGAGTTCAGCCTACACTTGAGTAGGACCCTGGCAGAGACACATGCCCGACTGGCATGTTCTCTCTCTCCTGGTTGATCGTTCGGGAGCTTCAAAAGCTTTCTTCAGCCTGAACATCACAGCGACCGATGCCAACAGACACCGGCACACTTAGGGATCCGCAGAGTTTGCGCAGTTGCGTAACAGACCTCAGCAACTCAGCATTTTGGCTAATCTACTTTTATTTACATATAAACACACACGGAACACTGCAACATGGCTCCCTCTCTCTCTAGGATCAGACAGCAAAGAGAGTGAACAAAGGACAATAATCCCACTTCACGGAACACAGTAACACAAACATCCTGTCTTCATCACTTCCCACTCTGTGGAGTCAAAACATATCAAGTAGTGTGAAAGACAAAAATCCCATGACTGCAATCATAGATCAGGAATTCTAACAAAAACACCTTCCCATGTTCTTTATTCAGACCCATGAGGCCTAGAATCTTACATATTTTTAGTTTGAAAGACTGCAGCCCAGGAACAGAGCACCTGCATTGTGTGTAGAATAAGGTTATCAGACGTCCGTCCCTGGATTTACAAATCAGTCCCCTGATAAAACCCATCTGTTTAGTAGGAAGTTGAAAAGTTTCCCTGGATTCATTGGGGGAAAAAAATCTGGTAACCTTAGTGTAGAAGGTCTCAGGTTCCATTTCCAGCATCTCCATATAGGGCTGGGCATAGCTCCATCTGCAATCCTGGGCAGCCTTTTCCAGTCAGTGTGCTAACACTAGAACTCGTGGACATCCAGTGAAGCTGAACGCTGGAAGATTTGGGACAGAGAGAAGAAAGGACTTCTTTATGTAGCACATAGGTAGACTGTAGAACTCACTCCCACAGGAGGCAGTGATGGCCAATCACTTGGGTGGCTTCAAAAGCAGATTGGACAAATTCATGGAGGAGAATAAGGCTATCGATGGCTACTAGTCATGATGGTCATGCTCTGCCTCCACAGTTGGAGGCAGTAGGGCTTCTGAATACCAGTTGCTGGAAACCAGAGAAGGAGAGAATGCTTGCAGGTATCCCACAAGCATCTGTCTGGCTACTGGGAGAGCAGGATGTTGGAATAGATGCACCATTGGCCTAACCCTGCAGGGCTTTTCTTATCTTCTTATGCTATGTAAGATCAATGTTCTGCCTGGATACCAGGCAGTTTTCTATGTCAACCTCATTCAAACAACTGATTATGACCCCAAAGCAAAAACTAAAGACTATCTCATCGGGTACCCTTGCACCCAGGTAATCAACAAATTGTGGTGGGATTCAGCAGTTTCAGGCCTGGCCAGATTAGCCTTCCCTGCACAAAAGACAGTTCTAAGGCCGAGCCAGCTTATTACATGCTGTTTTCTCACCAGATAACTACGAAGGTGTTTTTTTTTTACAGAGCCTTCCTGCTTACGACCAAGGCAAGCATAAAAAGCAGGCTAGCCATTGATTTGGGGGTGTTGGGAGATGGAAAAGGCTGGCTGTGTCTTCACCTCTTGACAAAGAAAACCCCAGGTCAGTCTTTCGAAGCTGATTTCCAGCAATGCTCTGATGTTCTTTACGGAGCAGCTTCTTGGGTTTCTTAAAGGAGTTGCATAAGGCTTTAGACACAGTGCTGCTCCTGTTTAGGTATAGTCTGATGATATGGGTTGAACAATGACGCATTCTGGCAAATGTGGGGCTACAACAACAGAGCACCCCTGGATCTCCTCTTCCTCACTTCCTTGTGTCATCTAGCCTCCCCCAAATTGGGTCACATCTGCACCATGCACTTAAAGCACTATAATTCCACTTGAACAGTCATCACTTTCTCAAAAACTGTAGCTTGTTCAAGATGCTGGGAGTTATTAGGGGACCCTCTATTCTCTTCACAGAGTTGCAATTCCCATATTTCTCTTGGAAGAGAGAGTGATTATAATTATTAAACCACTCTGGAAATTGTTTGTTAAACCACCCTGAGACCAAGATGATCAAGAGTCTGGAAACTAAGCCTAATGAGGAACGGTTGAGGGAGGTGGGTATGTTTAGCCCACAGAAGAGAAGACTGAGAA